GGGATGGGGTAATGATGCAACTACGTACATGTGCCCGGGTACGCATCCCTACGCACAGTCGATCCAGCTGGACCACGGCGGCGATCTAGCGTAGTGTAGTGCAAGCATCGGTGGACACCGATACGGCGTACCAGTCCCCGGTACTAGTCACGGTGTGCCGTTCGCTCAGGCGATCACTGTAATGCTACTCCACATCACTCATCAGTCACTCATTCACTCGCAATGTAAATGAGTTCAATACAATTATATTTGATGGATTAAAACTAGTTTCTTCCTTAGTTTGCCATATGAGATTGTGGAAACAATTTCCAGAAAGACATTTTAAATTATTCAGATTCACGGGCCAGTGACTTTGAAACTATTCCGTTCACTGTAGATTTTTTTCCAAATTTTTCCGCTTTTTAGAGGCAGCAAATCCACTGGTAATACCAACGCACTCAAGCACACTTTGTGCTCCATATATGTACTCGGCTAACGCCTCGTACATATATGTCACACAGAGTGAGCTTTCGCCCATTATGGGTTGGCGGGTCAATGAATACAAATCAAGCGTGGGTGAGAATCATTTAATGAGTGAAAACAAGACAGTCGGTGAGTACAAATCAGTTAATGAATGAAAGAATGGAAATTAGTCAATAAATGATAATCAGTCAGAGTAAAAACCAGCCAATGGATAAAAATTAGTCAATGAAAGAAAGTCAGTTAATGAGTAAAAATCAAGCAAGAGGTGAGAATCATTCAATGATTGAAAATCGATCAAGAAACAAAAGTCAGTCAGCCAATGAGTACAAACCAGCCAATAAATGATTGGAAACTAGCCAATAAATGAGAACCAGTCAATGAGTAAAAATCAGCCAATGGATAGAAATTAGTCAGTGAATGAAAATCAATCAATAAGTGAAAATCAGTCAATGAGTGGGGATAATAGTTCTTACTACCATGTTCCCATCAACAATACAACATTTAGAAAAATATTTAGTCTGAGAATTGAGAAGTTTATATGGTACCTGGCAGTCTGTAGCATCATTACTGAGTATTCGCCTTCTACAGTAACTAAAGCAGTTGCATTTGTATATAAGTTCGGGAATCCACTAGCGTGAGAGTAACCATGGCCGCCACAAGACAATCGTAGTGTTTCTAACCAAGAGGTTGCAGATAAAGATGAGAAACCTTTCATAGCAGATGACAGACCATGTAACTATTGTGAAAAATAAAGTGAAAAGACACATTACATAGGTTTCAAAGTCTTGACAGAAACTACACTCTAAGAAGTTCAATCTTATTTCAAATATTCAATATCACTGACAGAGGTAATCTTAATAGGTCTCTGAGCTTGTAGGTTTCTAATCAACCAATCAGAAGACTTTCTGATGGTATGTAAATAATATTGTAATAAAATGTGCATTGTGTCCATTTCTGTTTCATCCTTGTCATTTCACAACTTTGATTCTACCAAAAAAGATGCACTATTCTCCCTGATCTGTTACATGGCAACGAAAATTGTCTAGTTATTTTGTTGAGTTCGGTGTTCAACTAAGTGCTCACTACTCTGGGCACTAAGTCAGACAAGTACGGTAATGGCAAAAATTGTAATTATAATAATTTTGGAGATGGGTGGTCTAATGGGGCAGAATAAATTAATGTGATTTTACAATTTGGAAACAGTAACCGACAAGCATCCATAGTATTCTGTTATGCTTTTGGGCAGAACAATCAATTTACATTGATGTGTATAAAGACACAGTACCTCTTGTATAGATGACATATTTCCTGCAATGATGTCATCCTGTATTTGGTCACATCTATCTCGTATGTTATGGGCAGCAAAGAGAAATGCATAGGCTGTAGCCAATGGTGGGAAAAGTTTCAACTGCTGAGACTGGTAGTAAATGATCTGTGGTTCCTCTCCTCTAACAAAACAAAACACAGTAGACTGTGTTGGTACAGGACTGGCTCTGATTATAGTGTTCCTCAAAACAGACATAGCACTTTGTAATGTCATTTTAACGAAGACAGCTCCACTGATTTTCAAATATTTAACACAATCTACGATGTCACATTGATAACATATAAACCTCCATCAGAGCACAATTTTGGATGGCTTGCTTGATTTTAATAATATTTTCTTAATAGCGAATTCTTCCGCATCGGCAAATCTCTTCCGTGCTGTATTCAATAACATTAACATATTTAAATGAGCTATGGTAATTTGAATACGTTGGCATCATCCACCATTTTGATTGGTTAATTAAAGATTTGACCTGTCAGGTCAAAGAACACCGTCCCAGGTCAAAACATGGCGGATATTCATTTCTACAGCATTGAGTTTAAAATGTCATTCGCTTACAATGAAATAAGTTCAAATTTGTTTTCATTTCATAACAATTCAACAAATTTATTTTTTGCACATTATTATAATTACTACTAGGTAATAATCAAAAATTGTGAATCACAGTATTACTGGATTGCGTTACCGCGATCATTTGCTACTAAATAATGCTGTTGTGTTCGTTTTTGTTTGAAACTTCTTTTTGAAATATACTTTCGCTAATAATAAAATGAAAATAATTGTATTTGGTGCATGAGTTTAGTAAAATGTAATTTTTTTGGAGAAAGATGTGCTGGGTGACATTGTAATGACATTTTAGGTGGTCTACTTTTAAATCCAGCAAGTAAAAAAAAAGTATAAAATTTTAAATTAGCTGAGCAATAGTTTCTTTCGTTTTGGGTAGTTCAACTCCCAGCATTGAAAGTTGGCGTAGGTGGGTTTTTTAATGGAAATATAAGTCCCCGAAAAATATTTGATAATCATTTTTTGAAATTTTGAACCCCAAATAAGGGCCCACCAGCTGTGAAATGGCTTGAGACGATTTTTCGAACGGGCGAATCTATGGCAGAATCCGGTAGTTTTTTACAGTCTGTCTTTTGGATTTTTTACAACACAATTATAATAGTATCATTGCTTTCTAGGTGTATGAGAATTTCTATTGAAAAATATATGACTTTAAATTTCAAATACTGTAAAAGCATTTATTTTCACTGGCATTTAATTTCACTATTTTGATTTTTGATCCTTTTCACTGAATTTTACGTTTGAGAAACAATAAATTCTATTTTACTTACAAAAGCAAAAATAACGAAATTAAAACCTACTGAACAATTAATGTGTTTACAGTAATAGCATCAACAAATATTAGAACCACATATATAAACATATCTCATAATTACATGTATACAAAGTGAAATACATTAAAATCTACTTTGAGTTATAGAAACCACAAGAATTGTTAACAACGACAAAGACAATACTGACAGAATTCTTTCATCACATCCAAAAAAATAATGGGCTCTAGTTCTTACCCGGGAGTCAGTTCCGTTTGTCTTCTCACAGCACTGTATCTTATAGCGATAGTACAGCCAAAAGAGAGAACTCGTGCAGCCGCTGCGACTAAAGTTATTCGTGTTAAGACCATAGCACCGTATATTATTTTATCACTTACTGGTGCACTGTAAATACCACTTGGTGATATCTAGTCAAATTATCATTGAAAATAAAAATATTATCATCATTTATAAAGATGTGGGGTCGTTGGACTATTATTAGGCATAACTGTCGCTGTTAGCAGAAAAATTTCATTAAGAAC